TTACCATGTCGTTTAACAAAACAAAAACCAAAAACACCATACATTAGAACCTCGCCAATCCGAAACTTTGGATAATCCGAGCAAAATTCGGGATGGATGGAAAAAGATAAATGAAATATTTATATGTAGTGTAGAGATAGGATTTCATAATTACTGTGGAACTGAACTTCTAGTTATTGAAACAAAAGTGAAAATAAATGTTTTACACTGGTAGATGCTGTGTAGATCACATGTTTATGTAGCAGTAAATTTCACTTAGAGGAACTTGCAAAATCGATACTCCTCTGTTGCCAAAAGGAACTGAATCTGCTTGATGCGATCTCTACGCTTCATTCCATTTCTTCATAACCCACGCCACCATCCATTGTCTGCTAATCCTATAGATGTAATTGAATATGTACGGTACATTTTTTCCGATAATCCGAACGTTTCCGAATCCGTATAGACCACACCGCCAATTTGTTCGAATTACCTTTGTTCTACTGTACATTTAAACCGAAGAAAAGAACCGCTTTAGTATACCAGATCCATGATACTGTAACAAGTTTCCTTTGTTACAGTATCATGGATCTGATATACTCCAGTGGTTATTTTTTTCGGTGGTACACTTTAAGGTGTGCCAAAAAAATCAAGGTCTTTGTTTCTAATCATACCGTGTTTATTTTTTCGTTTGAGGTCAAAACAATTGTAAATTAAATTTTGTGCACGTAGGACCACAGCTACCTCTGCCGACTTGCATCGAAACTCGAAGACGGCCTAAAGCGATCTGGCGTATCTGGCTACGTGCTGGAAATTACCTGCTATTTTGTTAGTAAACTCATCATTTTCTAAGTGTCGACGTGTCAGTAGAATTACGGAGTTATAAAAAGAGTATATTTTTTAATATGAGACATGAAACATCAATAATGTGTCCCAAACTTCCGAAAAAAACTGACAAAAGAGAAAGCGGTACGCCTTGGAATTATAGAGGCCACCTGCTAAATAGTTCTCCGTACCAACTGCTTTGATACCATTTTACGAACCGTTAAAAATATTCGTTTTCTAATTCTAAAGAAAATATGGATTTGCAAGCAGATATGCCAACGCTGACCGAGAACACACGACCTGGACAACATCCAAGGGAAAAGATTTCATTATTCCAAAATTGGTAGCAGCGCTTGAGATATATCAGATGTATCAAATTTGAACTCTTTTTCGTTTCGTCTTATTTGTGCGACCGTCCGAATCTCCGAAGTAACGTTCAGAAATAATTAGCTGAATGGCAACTTTATACGCGAAAAATAAACAAAAAGCTGAATTTATTTGTTATATTTTATAAACAATTTTTATATTAGCCGGTTCAACTTTTAACGTATTTTCAGTTACAATCGTCGATGTCACGTTGTAAGTTTGTTTTAAAGTGAAGTATACGTAATACGTGAAAATTATGTATTAGGCCATTTTAAGTTTATTAATAATAAAGTATAATTATTTTACATCAATTCAGATTTTAGTTTAAAATTGCTTCAAGATAATATGATTACTACTAGGCATACCGTATTAATGTGGAAATGAAGCTTTTTTTTTTTTGTCTAAGTTTACATCTTTTCTTTAAAACTTCGAGTTTA